TATTTAATTATAATTTTCTTTAAAAGTATATTTATATAATTGAAGAATATTTTGTATGTACCAGTACATCTACCACATATTTTATTTCATCAAGTAAGTTTTTATTATTTTTGTAGTACCGTAGCGTACCGAAATACGTTAGCGTGGAGATTAAGAATAGAAAAGACAGCACAAATTGATAAGACACTGAACAGATTTAATTTCACGAAGATACACATCTGAGGTTCACTCACGATTTTTGTTTCGCGATGGGGCTCTCGTTACCCCTTTGGTCCGGACACAAGAATACGACGGAGTGATCCAATATAAAATCCCCGACACGACAATTAGGAATCGCTGCAATCACACATAAATTGCCCGACGCGACAAGTAGACTTAGTTTTTTTTTTTAATAACTCGATAATTGGACTATTCTTACGTGGAGGCTGATCTTGATACCCGCTGAATGTCTCTCTTTTAGTACGCAATTGTCCTCCTTTCACGTGGTTCTTTCTTCTTTGTTCTTCACCTTCCTTCCTCTGCCAACCCGACACGAACCCAGGTGAACCAAAGAAAAGTACTCTATGCACGAGGTCTTTCCTTTTTATATCCCGCGCCATGTCCTGACGAGGGAACATACGTCATGGCAGGGGAGCCAATCACGGGCTCGCACTACCACACCTCAAGAAGTGGTACGAACCTTACGGAAAAAGTTTACAATTACCAATGCGCGACAAAATACAGAATATAGATACATATATATTTAATGATGACATACAAACACTTAGTGAAAAACACTACATTTTACTAGCTGCAAGGACCCGATTCGCTGGGTTTTTAAAAAGTAAAGATAGTGAAGATTAAGATAATTACATTATAGCCAATCTTACCCGTTTTCACAGAATGCAAGAATTAGGTTCCCCGTTTCCAGACTAATTAGAGACCTGGTCCCGATTCTATTTCTGAACGTCTCCTGTTCACGTCAAGTCAAACGAACTATTTTCAACGTTTCTGGAACGTTTACAATCGTACTATAATCGAACCAATTTTCGAAGTTTATGTTCGAATTTAATTCGAACAAATTCGAACAAAACATTCGAAATAGAAAGCCACTTTCAACCACTTTCAG